GACTGACGTTCCCTATCCCCTATATAGTGCACTGACTGACGTTCCCTATCCCCTATATAGTGCACTGACTGACGTTCCCTATCCCCTATATAGTGCACTGACTGACGTTCCCTATCCCCTATATAGTGCACTGACTGACGTTCCCTATCCCCTATATAGTGCACTGACTGACGTTTCCTATCCCCTATATAGTGCACTGACTGACGTTCCCTATCTCCTATATAGTGCACTGACTGACGTTCCCTATCTCCTATATAGTGCACTGACTGACGTTCCCTATGGAGCTTCAGATTCTAGAGAGTATTTGATTGGACAGAGAATCTGATGACAAGCAGAAGTGCAGAGTGATGTCATCAAAATCAATGATCCATATTGATGAAAGTGAGTGTACATTTTGAATGCTTATATCTTCTAAATGTGAATTTTGTCATTGTGTTGGAGCACACTGGCTTATAGATAACAGTAAGGTGAACACATTCATATTAAAAGCCAAAAAAATATACATTTGGATTTCATGGGGACTTTATACAGAGTCAAGAGCTTTCACATCTTTCAAAATAAAAGTCAGAAAAACATTGGTTTCTTTGGCTACACACTTCTGGACCCACTCAAAAGGGTTTTGTGGCCCACTATGGTGTCACCAGTTGAGAAACACTGTATTACACACACACACTCCGCACGTCTTCAGATGCTGGAGCACTGGCTGCACGTAACACCTTGTTGTTTTCTGTATGAAAACAGCATGTCATGCTCATATTCTCAGGGCCCAACCCTTACACGAGTCACGACTCAGGTTTATTTCCCAGAAAACATCTTCCACGCCAGGAATGAGGAATCTTTCAGACTCGAACATGAAGTGATGGGACAGGTAAAGAGGAAGAGCCAAACCCAAACCCGTCCATACATCCCCTGAGGGAGCGAAACTCTTCACAGCGAGTCCATCATCTGTCAGCAGACGAGCGCTCTAGATGAAGATACACCACTCATCCGAATGCAGGAAAGGGCTTTAAAGGCATAGTTCACCCAAAAATGAAGATTAGTCCATATCGCATTCTTCTTGCAGAATTCAGACTAATGCATTTTTTTAAAGTCCATAAAAGCGCATCTGTCCATCAAAAAAGTTCATTTATCCATCATAAAAGTGCATCTGTCCATTATAAAAGTGCATCTATCCATCATAAAAGTGCATCTGTCCATCATAAAAGTGCATCTGTCCATTATAAAAGTGCATCTGTCCATCATAAAAGTGCATCTGTCCATCATAAGTGCATCTGTCCATTATAAAAGTGCATCTATCCATCATAAAAGTGCATCTGTCCATCATAAAAGTGCATCTATCCATCATAAAAGTGCATCTGTCCATCATAAAAGTGCATCTATCCATCATAAAAGTGCATCTGTCCATCATAAAAGTGCATCTGTCCATCATAAAAGTGCATCTATCCATTATAAAAGTGCATCTGTCCATCATAAAAGTGCATCTATCCATCATAAAAGTGCATCTGTCCATCATAAAAGTGCATCTGTCCATTATAAAAGTGCATCTATCCATCATAAAAGTGCATCTATCCATCATAAAAGTGCATCTGTCCATCATAAAAGTGCATCTATCCATCATAAAAGTGCATCTATCCATCATAAAAGTGCATCTGTCCATCATAAAAGTGCATCTGTCCATCATAAAAGTGCATCTATCCATTATAAAAGTGCATCTGTCCATCATAAAAGTGCATCTATCCATCACATAAGTGCATCTGTCCATCTTAAAAGTGCATCTGTCCATTATAAAAGTGCATCTATCCATCATAAAAGTGCATCTGTCCATCATAAAAGTGCATCTGTCCATCATAAATGTGCATCTATCAATCATAAAAGTGCATCTGTCCATCATAAAAGTGCATCTGTCCATCATAAAAGTGCATCTATCCATTATAAAAGTGCATCTGTCCATCATAAAAGTGCATCTATCCATCATAAAAGTGCATCTGTCCATCATAAAAGTGCATCTATCCATCATAAAAGTGCATCTATCCATCATAAAAGTGCATCTGTCCATCATAAAAGTGCATCTGTCCATCATAAAAGTGCATCTGTCATAAAAGTGCATCTGTCCATCATAAAAGTGCATCTATCCATCATAAAAGTGCATCTGTCCATCATAAAAGTGCATCTATCCATTATAAAAGTGCATCTGTCCATCATAAAAGTGCATCTGTCCATCATAAAAGTGCATCTGTCCATCATAAAAGTGCATCTATCATCATAAAAGTGCATCTGTCCATCATAAAAGTGCATCTATCATCATAAAAGTGTATCTGTCCATCATAAAAGTGCATCTATCCATCATAAAAGTGCATCTATCCATTATAAAAGTGCATCTATCCATCATAAAAGTGCATCTATCCATCATAAAAGTGCATCTATCCATCATAAAAGTGCATCTCTCCATCATAAAAGTGCATCTGTCCATCATAAAAGTGCATCTGTCCATCATAAAAGTGCATCTGTCCATCATAAAAGTGCATCTGTCCATCATAAAAGTGCATCTGTCCATCATAAAAGTGCTATGGATTTCAAAACAGAAACGGCCATTGACTCCCATTATAAAGCTGGGAAAAGGCAGGACATTTTTTAATATACTCTGATTGCATTCGTCTGAAAGTAGTAAGTCATGTACCGCTAGGATGTCTTCAGGGTTTGTAAATTATTGGCTAATTTTCATTTTTGGGTGAACTATCCCTTTAAACACTCAGAGCTCCGGCGTGAGGCGTCTTGTTGGGAGATGAACGGGAATAAACAGCCCTCCTGTTAGGATCCCGCGGCTCTGCCAATGTTTGTCACTCACGAGGATATTTAAAGATCCAGGATCTTTCTCCGCCTCCGGGAGATTCCTCGGCGATTAATCTTGCATCGGGAGCCGGAGCAAGCGGAGGGAGGATCGGCCTCGTGTCACTCAGTTGGGCAACTTCATTTCTGAAGAAGAGTTTGACATCCAGAGGAGAAAACCACCAACAAGCTGAACGTCTGAGACTCTGCAGACATTTGACACACACACACACACACACACACACACATATAATGAATATATAATGTACATAATGGAACTATAATATATATAGTAATGAAACTAACCCAACATATATAAAAAATCATTACTTTAAATAAAATAAACATTAATTAAACAAGAATAAAATATAAAAACATGAATTTTATTGAACTAAAATGAAAATATATCAAATAGAACATAATATTAAAATATTATAGATATATAAAATATACAATTAATACTATTAAAATATTAATACCATATCATCAAAATTAAAATAATCAGGTTGATAATCATTGTTTATTTAAAAATAAGACAATATATAATATAGTTAGTAAGTTCAAATTAAATTTTCAAATGCACGTTCAAAAAATGTTTAGTTTTGTTTTATAAGAGAAATGAATACTTTTATTCAGCAACGGTGCATTAAATTGATGTGTGACCGTAAAGATATTTATAATGTTATTGTTAATATTATGATTTTATTTCAAACAAATGCTGCTCTTCTGAACTTTCTATTCATCAAATAATCCTAAAAAATTAAATGTATCACAGTTTCCACAAAAATATGTTTATAACATTAATAATAATCATAAATGTTTGCTGATCATCAGATCCTCATATTAGAGTGATTTGTGAAGGATCATGTGACACTGAAGACTGGAGTAATGATGATAAATTCAGCTTTGATCACAGGAATAAATTACACTTTACTGGATATTCACATAGAAAACAGATGATTTACAGTATAATAATATTTCACCAAACTTGTGTAAAGTAGTGTATACTTTTCATTGTGATTTTGTAACCTTAAGAGACTAAAGTCATTCTCATCCGATTATGATTATGATAGATGTTCATATCTCCAGTTGTGGATGTGTGTGTGTGGAGGTGTTTACAGTGAGACAGAAGCAGCTGTGTCCAGAATGAGAGGAATGATGACCTTTGACCTGCTTTATGTTGGATAAACGGGGCAGATTTTCATACATTCACACTAAAGCCCTCAAAGACTCGCGTGTGTAATAACTGTGGATAAAAGCACGAGTCTTCCGGTTAGAGCTTATTAACTTCTGAACAGCATTAGTTCATGTTTTGGCTCAATTGAAGGAAAGGAAAGGCAGCGTGAGCGTCAGAAGTGTTCATAAGCGGCACGTCCTCTAGTGGACACATCCGACACTACACTACACACACACACACAGGTGAAACTGGAAACATTAGAATATGGTGCAAAAGTTCATTTATGTCAATAATTCAACTTAAAAGATGAAACTAATATATTATATAGACTCATTACATGCAAAGTGAGATATTTCAAGCCTTTATTTGTTATAATTGTGATGATTATGGTTTACAGTTTATGAAAACCTTTTCACAATATTCTAATTTTGAATTTAGGGGTTTCATATCTGTAAGCATACATTAGTTTGTGTTAGTTAATACATTAAATAATTAACCTTATTGTGAAGTGTTGCCATTATTATTTAAAAAAATGCTTTATTTGATACACTATTGACTGTAATTTTTCATTTCAACTTTATGATTAGAACACCTTTTAACATTAAAATGTCACTTTATTTTTAGAGAGTTTAAATCTACAAAATCTGTAGTTAATTTTGCTTATTTTAATGACAATATATTTTGTTTTATTGAAGTGGAAATACACATAGAGAAAGTATTCCTTTTTAAATAAATGCAACAATATTATTATTATTATTATAATTTAGCTGGCTAAAATAGGTGAGGTTTCAAAATGATAAAAATGCAGTATTGTTAAAAAAGCTGTTTACCATTTTAAAATTAAAATTAAATACACACACACATCACTCTTTCACTCACTCACACACCACTCTCTCTCTCTCTCTCTCTCTCTCTCTCTCACACAAACACACACATATGCTATTACTGTGGTTTAAAACCAAAGAAGCTTTTGAAAATGAAATATGAAATGCAGATAGAAACAGTATAATTTTTTTAATAAATGCAACAATGCTCCAATTCTGGTAACAGAATTCAAGTTTTTACAGATTTGGTTTACAAAAGGAATCTCACACACACACACATGTAACTGAGCAGTAAATCTTCCCTATGAATATCTTCAGAAAGTGACTTAAATAATACAGTACAAAAATAGCCTGCTTCATCCTGACAGCGACTGATTCAGGAACAGTGGCACTGTAGTTATAGAAAACATAATTCATGTATAAAACAAACACAGATCCTGGATGCACACATTCAGTGTGTGAGAGTGAGCCAAGGCACAGCGGTGTGTGTTACACGACGCCTCACACCAGACCGGCATCTTTAGCCATGCCGAAGAATATTCCTTTCTGCCCGATGAGAGCGGACGGCGTGTCGAACTCTGCGATCTGACCCTTATCCAGGACAAGCACTCTGAGGAAGAGGAGGAGAGGAGGAGGAGAGGAGGAGGAGAAGAGGAGGAGGAGGAGGAGAGGAAGAGGAGGAGGAGAGGAGGAGAAGAGGGAGGAGGAGGAGGAGAGGAAAAGGAGGAGGAGGAGAAGAGGAAGAGGACGAGGAGGAGAGGAGGAAGAGGAGGGGAAGAGGAGGAGGAGGAGGAGGAGAGGAAAAGGAGGGAGGAGAAGAGGAGGAGAGAGGAGGAGAGGAGGAGGAGGAGAGGAGGAGGAGGAGGAGGAGGAGAGGAAGAGGAGGAGGAGAGGAGGAAGAGGAGGAGGAGGAGGAGGAGAGGAAAAGGAGGAGGAGGAGGAGAGGAAAAGGAGGAGGAGGAGAAGAGGAGGAGGAGGAGAGGAGAGGAGGAGAAGGAGGAGGAGGAGAGAGGAGAGGAGGAGGAGAAGAGGAGGAGGAAGAGGAGGAGGAGAGAGAAGAGGAGGAGGAGGAGGGAGAGGAAGAGGAGGAGAGAGGAGAAGAGGAGGAGGAGGGAGAGGAGGAGGAGAGGAGGAGGAGGAGAAGAGGAGAAAGAAGAGAGGAGGAGGAGAAGAGGAAGAGGAGAAGAGGAAGAGGAGGAGAAGAGGAAGAGGAGGAGGAGAAGAGGAAGAGGAGGAGAAGAGGAAGAGGAAAGAGGAGGAGGAGAAGAGGAGGAGGAGAAGAGGAAGAGGAGGAGGAGGAGGAGGAGAGGAAGAGGAGAAGAGGAGGAGGAGAAGAGAAGAGGAGGAGGAGAAGAGGAAGAGGAGGAGAAGAGGAAAAGAGGAGGAGGAGAAGAGGAAGAGGAGGACAAGAGGAGGAGGAGGAGAAGAGGAAGAGGAGGAAGAGGAGAAGAGGAGGAGAAGAAGAGGAAGAGGAGAAGAGGAGGAGGAGAAGAGGAAGAGGAGAAGAGGAAGAGGAGAAGAGGAGGAGAAGAGGAAGAGGAGAAGATGAAGAAAGGAGGAGGAGGAGAAGAGGAGAGAGGAGGAGAAGGAGGAGGAGAAGAGGAAGAGGAGGAGGAGAAGAAGAGGAAGAGGAGGAGGAGAAGAGGAAGAGGAGAAGAGGAGGAGGAGAAGAGGAAGAGGAGAAGAGGAGGAGGAGAAGAGAGGAGGAGGAGAAGAGGAAGAGGAGGAGGAGGAGAGGAGGAGGAGGAGAAGAGGAGGAGGAGAAGAGGAAGAGGAGGAGAAGAGGAAGAGGAGAAGATGAGGAAAGGAGGAGGGGAGAGAGGAGAGAGGAGGAGAAGGAGGAGGAGAAGAGGAAGAGGAGGAGGAGAAGAAGAGGAAGAGGAGGAGGAGAAGAGGAAGAGGAGAAGAGGAAGAGGAGAAGAGGAGGAGGAGGAGAAGAGGAAGAGGAGAAGAGGATTAGGAGGAGGAGAAGAGGGAGAGGAGAGAGAAGGAGGAGGAGAAGAGGAAGAGGAGAAGAGGAGGAGGAAAAGAAGAAGAGGAGAAGAGGAGGAGGAGAGGAGAAGGAGAAGAGGAAGAAGAAAGAGAAGAGGAAGAGGAGAAGAGGAGGAGAAGGAGAGGAAGAGGAGAAGAGGAGGAGGAGAAGAGGAAGAGGAGAAGAGGAGGAGGAAAAGAAGAAGAGGAGAAGAGGAGGAGGAGAGGAGGAGAGGAGAAGAGGAAGAAGAAGAGAGAGCAAGAGGAGAAGAGGAAGAAGAAGAGAAGAGGAAGAGGAGAAGAGGAGGAGAAGGAGAGGAAGAGGAGAAAAGGAGAAAGGAAGGAGAAAAAGAGGATGAGAAGAGGAAGAGCATGATCACTCCTGCACTGCATCACATGTGTTGATCATTCACATCTCAGCCGTTTCATTCTCATCAGACACTACACTGTATTAATGTTATTAATATCTCATACTCGTAGTGTTCATGTAAAGTGATTTTTACTGTACAGCAAATCTCAGCTGTGTGAGTGTTTATATCAGCACAAAATAGAATTATATCAATATCATATACTGTATATATTATATATATATGATATTGATATATATATATATATATATATATAAAAAAAAAGATGGCTATATTTTATATCCAAATTTATCATCTTACACACAGGGCACTCACGCAAAAAATACATACATATATAAAGCTATATAGAGCAAATCTCAACTGCTTGATTGTTTATATAAACTATATTATGGTGTGTGTGTGTGTGTGTACCTGGTGTAGTCCATGATGGTGTTGAGTCTGTGGGCGATGGTGAACACGGTGCAGTCCTCGAACTGTGTGCGGATGGTGGACTGGATCAGGTCGTCCGTCTCCAGATCCACAGCGGCTGTTGCTTCATCTAGAACCAGGATCCTCGTCTTCCTCAGCAGAGCTCGAGCCAAACACACCAGCTGCCTCTGACCCACACTGCACACACACACACACACACACACACTGTATATACTGTACATGCTCATAATGCAACACGTTACAGACAAACACAAGTCAAAAGTTCAGAATAATTCATCATTTTTAATATAATGATCCTTCACAAATCACTCTAATATGATGATCACGACACATTTATGATTATTATATCAGTGTTGAAAACATATCTGCATGATACACTACCATTCATACAGATCGCAGTAAGTAAGATGTAAAAGATAATAATACGTTTGACCACCTTTGAAAAAAGTGACATTTTTAATGTTACAAAAGATTCTATTTCAAATTAATTCTATTCTATTCATCAAAGAATCCTGAAAAATGAAATGCGACACAGTTTTCACAGAAATATGAAGCAGCAGCACTACTGAAACAAATCTTAATTTTTCCAGACTTTTGCCTGGTAGTGTACAGGTAAATCTCAAACAATTAAAATATGGTGCAAAAGTTCGTTTATTTCAGTAATTCAACTTAAAAGCTGAAACTAATATATTATATAGACTCATTACATGCAAAGTGAGATATTTCAAGCCTTTATTTGTTATAATTTCACAATATTCACATTTTTCCAGTTTCACCTGAATATAGAACAGAAATGTGAGTGAACCAGGGCAATGTAAAAACGTGTATGTACACAATAAGTCCATTGTATGAAGTTATTAATTTCAATGTAAGTACATAGTCCTAGTACTTTGATATAAAGTGTTCTATTTTTGCCATTGAATGACGATTATTTGATTGCAGAATGTTGTGGTGTGATGATGTAATGAGTGCAGTACCTGAGGTTCTCTCCTCCCTCAGAGCACTCCAGGTCCAGCTTTAAAGCCTGACTGCTCACAAACTTCTTCAGATGAGACTGTTCCAGAGCTTTCCACAGTTCCTCATCACTGTATTTATCAAAGGGGTCAAGGTTCATCCGCAGAGTCCCAGAGAAGAGAACCGGCTCCTGCAAACACATGTCAATCACGCAGCGGAGTTAGTCACAGCACACACACACACACACACACACACACACACACACTCATAATCACAGCGAGACTAAATCATCCGCACGATGTGACTGGCAGGACTCAAAGCTAGGAGTGAGCAAAGTGTGTGTGAGAGAGAGAGAGACAACATTTGTTCATCATAAATGTGAGTATATATATATATATATTTTTTTTGTGCTTTGTTTTTCATGTCACCAAAGTAATTTTTTTTTAACTTGATGACATAAATGATATATTATTCATTAAAATTAAATACTACAAGCATATAAAATAATATATTATAAAATAATTATATATATATATATACATACACATATTATACAAATTTTTCAAATTAAACAGTAAGGATTTTAATTTTTTTTCGCAATGTATCATGCAATAAATTATACATATACATATATATATTAGGGCTGTGCAAAAATTAATTGCGATTAATCGCAGCCAAAATAAAAGTCTGTGTTTACATAATGTATTTGTGTGTGCTGTATATAATTATTTTGTATAAATACACACACATGCATGTATATATTTAAGAAAATGTGTTATTCATATATAAAATATTTATATAATATAGATTATGTAGTTATATTTATATACAGAATTTAAGCGCAAATAATTCTTAAATATATACATGCATGCATAGGTATATATATGCAAAAAATTATATACAGCACACACAAATATATTATGTAAACACAGACTTTTATTTTGGATGTGATTAATCGCAATTAATTTTTGCACAGCCCTAATATGTATGTATGTATATATATATATATATATATATACTGTATATATATACATAAAAGATCTAATAAAAATTATATTATTTCAATTTTATTAATTTATATAAACACACACACACACATATAGGTACACACATATATATAAAATATTTTTCGTTTTTTTAGTAATAATATATATATATATATATATATATTTTTTTTTTATTATTATTATTAATATTTATTCTATTAAAATTTCTATTCCTGTGAAGATTCATTGCTTTTCATTTTTGAATCTGAATTTGCTTCATGTTTGAGTTGTGAACGCTGAACGCCGCTCTGCTGAGCACAAAACATGAAGTCCCACGGCAGCGTTTCAGTATCAAAAGGTGAAATGAGGTTAAGAACAGGTTTTACTAGAGAAAGCCGAGAAAACAAACAACAGGAGAAAAGCGCAACGTTAATAATCTGGACACAAACGAGCAGGCCATTAGCTGCGCAGGCTCATTATCAGCACTGGCTTCATCCACCGCCAGCACAATCCACTGCTTTATGGCTCTGAATGGGGAAATGAGCTTTTTCTGCTGACCCATCATGAATATCGCAATAAACAGCTGCGCTTAAATGAAAACAGATGCGCTGGCACCAGACCTGAGGGATGATGGTGAGTTTGGATCGCAGGTCATGAAGGCCGATCTCCGAGATCTTCACCTCGTCGATCACGATCTCTCCGCCCGCCGCTTCCAGCAGACGAAACAAACACAGAGTCATCGACGACTTCCCGGCTCCCGTCCTTCCCACGATGCCGATCTGCCGAGGTGGACAGGACGTTAGCCACTGTGCTTAAAGGTGCGGCGGTAAACCTGCCAGAAACGGCATTACGAGGCTCCTGACCTTCTCTCCTCCCTTGACCTTCAGAGAGACGTTCTTCAGCACCAGGTCCAGTCCTTCTCGATATCTCACGCTGTAATCCACGAACTCCACGTTTCCCTCGGGCGGCCAGTCCGGCGGCGGGCGCTTGTCCTGCACGACCCATGGAGCCTGTGGACACCCAAGGCCAGTTTAAATCAGCTCAACTGTGCAAACATGACCTCAGTGAAATCATACATGCGTGTGTGTGTGTGTGTCTGTGAGTGTGTGTGGGCAGCTTTAGCTACTTGAGGACCAAATGTACAAATCAATCAACGAGCGTGTGTTTGTCGTCCTCTACCTCAGTCGGTGTTTCTGAATACTCCTTCACTCTTTCCACCGCTACTATGTTGCTCTCAAGGTCAGAGGTCATCCTCACCATCCAGTTAAGGGACATCGTGACCTACAGTATACAGTAGAAAGTGTTTTTCTCCCCTGCTCCGCTGTTGTCTAATCTTAAATGTGGCATTGCATACTGCAAATATTGTTGTATAAAACAATATAAAAAGCTAAATGTATACAGTTAAAAGTTGCATTTATTTGATCAAAAATACAGTAAAAATTGTGAAATATTATTGTAATGTAAAATCATCAGTTTTCTATGTGAATATACTGTATAGTAAAGTGTAATTTATTCCTGATTTATTCACAAAAGTGAAATTAAAGACATTTATAATGTAACAAAAGAACTTTTGAACTTTGCACATAATTAATTTTTTTTTTTTTTTAAATGTATCAGTTTCCACTGTTTTCAACATTGATAATAATATTAATTAGAACCATTATTAATAATTGAGCAGCAAATCATCATATCAGAATGATTTCTGAAGGATCATGTGATATAAAATTGTACAATATTTCACAATATTCCTGATTTTACTGTTTTTAATAAGATTTCTTTTAAAAACATTAAACAATAAATATTTATTGTTTATTGCTTAAATATTTCTTCTACGTATTTAAGTCTTATGTTATTTGTGTAAATTATGGAAGATTGTTTCCGCCACAGAATAAAAAATAAAAAAGGTCATTGCGACTTTTTATCTCACAATTCAGACTTTTTTTTCTCACAATTGCATTTATAAAGTCAGAATTGCGTGATATAAAGTCAGAATTGGGTGATAAAAAGTCAGAATTGGGTGATATAAAGTCAGAATTGCGAGATATAAAGTTTCAATTGTTATAAAGTCAGAATTGCGTGATATAAAGTGAGAATTGCGTGAAATAAAGTCAGAATTGTGTGATATAAAGTCGCAATTGTGTTATAAAGTTGCAATTCTCTTTTAAAATGTTTTATTCTCTGGCGGAAACAAGCTTCCATAGTAAATGCATCATGAGATGTAGTTAAAATGAAAAAGAAATGTCTTGCATGATAAACAGTATGAATACACTAATGTTAGAGCTACAGATGAACACTATAACATGAACTATTACACATGACTGGTGGTTATAATGCATGAGTGTGACTGTACCTGTAGAGCGTAGGACACTGACAGACCCACCAGACCAGGACTCAGTTTATCTTTCCCGACCGCAGCGAACAGAGCAGCAAACAACACAATACAGTTCCCGATAAACTCGATCCGAACCCCCAACCACCTGTTTCGCACCCAAACACAACACTGTTACGACTGAGCGACATTTTAGAGACATTTCCCACATAATGGAAGACGCTGGAAAAATCTGCATGCATACGAAAGACTTATAAAGTCAGAATTGCATGAGATAAAGTCGCAATTGTTATGAAGTTAGGATTGCAAGAAATCAAGTCAGAATTGCGAGATATAAAGTCAGAATTGTGTGATATAAATTCAGAATTGCGAGATATAAAGTCAGAATTGTGAGTTATAAAGTCAGAATTGGGAGATATAAAGTCAGAATTGCGTGATATAAAGTCAGAATTACGAGATATAAAGTCAGAATTGTGAGATATAAAGTCAGAATTGTGTGATATAAAGTCAGAATTGCGAGATATAAAGTCAGAATTGCGTGATATAAAGTCAGAATTGTGAGATATAAAGTCAGAATTGCGTGTTATAAAGTCAGAATTGCGTGATATAAAGTCAGAATTGTGAGATATAAAGTCAGAATTGTGAGATAAAAAGTCAGAATTGGGAGATATAAAGTCAGAATTGCGAGATATAAAGTCAGAATTACGAGATATAAAGTCAGAATTGCGAGATATAAAGTCAGAATTGCGAGATATAAAGTCAGAATTACGAGATATAAAGTCAGAATTGCGTGTTATAAAGTCAGAATTGCATGAGATATAAAGTCAGAATTGCATGAGATATAAAGTCAGAATTGCGTGTTATAAAGTCAGAATTGCATGAGATAAAGTCGCAATTGTTATATAGTGGCAATTGTTATGAAGTAAGAATTGCAAGAAATCAAGTCAGAATTGTTATAAAGTCAGAATTACGAGATATAAAGTCAGAATTGCGTGTTATAAAGTCAGAATTGCAAGATATAAAGTCAGAATTACGAGTTATAAAGTCAGAATTACGAGATATAAAGTCAGAATTGCGAGATATAAAGTCAGAATTGCGTGATAAAGTCAGAATTGCGAGATATAAAGTCAGAATTGCGAGATATAAAGTCAGAATTGCGTGATAAAGTCAGAATTGCGAGATATAAAGTCAGAATTGCGTGATAAAGTCAGAATTACAAGATATAAAGTCAGAATTACGAGATATAAAGTCAGAATTACGAGATATAAAGTCAGAATTACGAGATATAAAGTCAGAATTGCGAGTTATAAAGTCAGAATTGCGAGATATAAAGTCAGAATTGTGAGATATAAAGTCAGAATTGCGTGTTATAAAGTTGCAATTGTTAAATAATTGAAGTCGCGATTGTAAAATCTGCATGCATCCGAGCGAGTGTGAGCGAGACCGAACCAACCTGTTGGAGACGATACCAGGATAGTAACTCTTTTGGTTCTCATCCACTTTCATATCGCTCATGAGAACGAAGGCGCCGTGGCGCCCGTACGCGCGGATCACGCTCGTGCCCGTGATGGTCTCCGAGAAATGAGAATATATAGGAGACCTACTGACAGACTCCAGCCTCTTAAGCTGACGAGACGTGGCCACATAAAACCTCTACGGAGGAAAAACATGTTTAACACACACAAACTACAGCAGGGATATTTAGACATATTTACACAGGTATGAATGAGTGAGGATTCAGGAAACACACTCGTCATTTGAAAACATGCATTTTTACTCGGATATTTTTGCTTTTATTTTATGTTTAAAATTAAGAAGATAATATTGCAGGTTTGTCTGAACTCTAGGAATGTTTGGTCAGTTTAGCATTAACTAAGAGACTATTTATAATAAGAGAAAATGCCTGATCAAGACACATTTTATATAATTCATGAGCTTCTATATCATAATTTTATATATTTTCTTTACAAAAAAAATCTTATGCACAATACAGTGACATGCATTGTTAAAGATTTTGGGGTCGGTGAGATTTTTTATGTTTCTGAAAGAGTCTCTTTTGCTCACCAAAGCTTCATTTATTTGATCAAAAATACAGTAAAAAATAGTGAAATATTATTATACTGTAAATCATCGGTTTTCTATGTGAATATACAGTAAAGTGTAATTTATTCCTGTGATCAAAGCATCATTACTCCAGTCTTCAGTGTCACATGATCCTCCAGAAATCACTCTAATATGAGGATCTGATGATCAAGAAACATTTATGATTATTATTAATGTTGAAAACCGTGATCCATTTTAATTTTTCAGGATTCTTTGATGAATAGAAAGTTCAAACGAACAGCATTAATTTAACATAGAATCATTTGTAACATTATTAATATCTTTTACTGATCAATTAAGTCTGAATACAATCTTCTGAATATCAAATATTGCAAACTATAATAAACTGTACGTGATTCTAGTTAATCCACACATTCCTTTATTGAGACAAACCGCATAACACGTCCAATCTTTAATTTAGTTCATTTAGTTTCTAGAATCCTCACCACTTTTAATCAAACAATATTTCAGAATGCAAAACTCTTATTGATATATATATATATATATATAGTATAAAAACCATTGACATTAAGGGATCAAATAGAAATGGGATCAAACACTATCATAATGTTGTAGTGTTTGGTTTGGTTTTGTGCATTTCTGAATATAATGACAATCTGTAAGAATCATGTGATATTTCGGCTGCATGCGACAAGAGATTGGCTCAGAAAACACAGAGCGCTTCAGAAAGCCAGTTCGTGCCATGCAAAGAAGAAGAGTTACACAGATGCAATTATGCAATGAGAGATTGAGGGTTTAGCACCGATGAGTCGAGAGAATCACATACCAGACCGAATTATGACAGGCCCATAAACATATCGAACACCATTATCAATATCAAACAGTGTTACAAACCCTAATGCTGTTTTTCTTTCCACTACTGGTAATTACAGCAGCATCTGAACTGCTCAAGACGATCAGTTACACTGGACTGTGTCATTCACTCAATTATGACATTGTTTTGACAACTTGACATAAACCAATACATCATAACCTGTCAGTGTCTTTGTCATCACAACTTTACATTACTAAGACAAAACAACCTGTCATAAACATGACATAGCAGATTATCAAACATAAAGGAGTAGTTCACTTTAAAAAAAACTTTTGCTGATAATTTACTCGCCCCCGTGTCATCCAAGATGTCCATGTCTTTCTTTCTTCAGTCGAAAAGAAATGAAGGTTTTTGATGAAAACATTCCAGGATTTTCTCCATATAATGGACTTCAATGGGGTCCAAACGGTTCAAGGTCCAAAAGACAGTTTCAGTGCAAACTACAAACTGTTCGAAGGGCTTTAAACGACTCCAGACGATGAATAAGGGTCTTATCAAGCGAAACGATCGCTCATTTAATAAATAAATAACAGTTTAAGTTTAACTTTAAGTTTTATAAGTTTAATTTTTAAGTTTTACAGTTTAAGTTTTATAAGCTCAAATGCTCGCCTTGCTCTGTTCTGTGTGACTCTCCTGTTCGAACTCGTTTATCAAAATGAACAAATCTTTTTCTGAGTCATTTGGTTCATTCAACGAACTAAATAAACGAGTTGACTCGGAAAAAGATTCGTTCATTTTGATAAACGGATTCGAACAGGAGAGTCACGCAGAACAGAGCAAGGCGAGCATTTGAGCTTATAAAACTTAAACTTTGTTATTTATTTATTAAATGAGCGATCGTTTCGCTTGATAAGACCCTTATTCATCGTCTGGTGTCGTTTAAAGCCCTTTGAACAGTTTGTAGTTTGCACTGAAACTGTCTTTTGGACCTTGAACCGTTTGGACCCCATTGAAGTCCATTATATGGAGAAAATGCAGGAAAGTTTTCATCAAAAACCTTCATTTCTAATTTCAATGTTTATGACAGCTTGTTTTGTCTTAGTAATGTCAAGGTGTCATAACAACAACATCTCAAACAATGTCATATTTGCATTAAAAATGTCATAATTGAGCGAATTACACTTAATGCCATAAACATGCACAAACCCTCATGTGTCCTGTCCGGGTTATGAAGGTATGCACACCGCTTCAGGTAAAGTGTAACCACAAGAACTTAACACTACATTGTTAATAGTCTAAATATTAGTAGATAGCTCACCACCAAACACACTTCTTATATGGATTATTATTTTACAAATGCTCTCCCATTAAAATAACTACATGCCAGCTATGAGTTAAAAGTCCACTTGAATCACAGTTTGTTACGCGCGCTTGCATTAGAAATGATGACATTCACACAGCAAAACTTCATCTTCTACTGTAACTCTACTGTAAAGCGCTGTTCTTTACCCATCTTTATTTCTTACACTTTTCATTACGTTGTATATCCATACAGGCGGATATACAGCATACCAGCACATTCATATAATTAATAATAATACGTTATTGCAATAATGCACATATAATAATTATTATTATTATCATCATTACTGTTATTATTACTACCACTATTATCATTGATATTATTAAGCAAAAATACTATTATTAACAGTAATAATTTATTTTAATACTTTATTAAATTATAATAATTATAATTATTATAAGTAGTCATCATTTAATAAATGATTGCAATATTCTATTATTTTTTTGTTATAACAATTTAAATCATCATAATAATTATTATCATTATTAGTAGTAGTATACTTGAACATGAACTTTATAAAAATAATATAATAAATTAATGTATTAAATTATAAAAATAATAATAAATGATCGCAAAACTAATGATCATCATCATAATACTCATAATGTATTAAATAATATAAAATATTATTATTATTATTATTAAAAGTAGTAGTATTATATAATTTAACAAATTATTGTGATAGTGTATTACTATTATTATTATTGTCTTGCAGTAATTCATTAAATTATATAATAAAAATAATTCAAAGTATTAATACTATTATTATTAGTAGCAGTAATATATTATTTAATAAATTATTGCAATAATTTATTACCACTATTGTTTTTGTTGCTGCTGTTGTCAATAATAATAATAGAATGATATTTAAATGATATAATTATGACATTAATAAATTAAATTATTATTAGCAGTTGTAGTAGTTTATAATTAAATACGTTATTGAAAAATGAATTATCATTAATATTATTATTAGCAGTAGTAGTAGTAGTAGAATATAATTGAATGCATTATTGCAAAAATGAATTATTATTATTATAACTTTTACTCAATTGACTATAAAACAGAAGGTCGGTGTCCTGTAACGGTGCGTTTGGGTAAAGAACAGCATCAGTTCAGTGAGTCGAGTCTCTCCGTTCGTTCGCCAGAGTCTCGACTCCCTGACCGCACCAAAACCCAGTGACCAAACCACACGGTGTAAAGACTACAACACTACGACAGTGATAATAATGCAGCTAGAACAGAACATCAACACATGTTAGCATGCTGTATTAATGAGTTAGCAGACTTGTTCCTATTTACCTGGACCCACCAATAGAACAGCATTAACGGCACTATGACTATGAGGAACATAGGGGTGAGGACAGAGCAAACGAGCAGCACATTTACTGTGTACCAGAAAGTGCGCATCCAGATATCAATATTGTCTGGAATGAGCGAGTCTATAGTGTCCACGTCTTTGCTGAAGCGGTTCAGGACCCGGCCTGAGGGGGTGGCCTCGAAAAAGGCCTGTGGCGCGCTCAGGATGGCCTGGAGCATGTGCTGGTGTGTGTGGCGGGCCGCCTTCAGTGTGCTGTACGCCCGGCACAGTAAAGCGTTGGCCAGAATCAGCACACCTGCGCACAACGACACACACAACGAGGAAGAGGAGGGTTAGTCGGGTTTAGCCCTCGCTCGTCTGATGCAGACTGGCTCGTCAGACAGGCTATAGGGCTGGAAACACCACTTTCACCATTACCTTACAGTGCAGTTTTGATTCACTTCCGATTTGGAATCACAAGCTTGTGATTTGATTCGATTCCGATTTTGATTCACAAGTTTGCGACTTCCGATTTTGATTCACAAGCTTGAGACTTGATTCACTTTCAAATTCGATTCACAAGCTTGTGATTTTGTTTTATTTGATTTGCAAGGTTGTGATTTTATTCGATTCGATTCACAAGCTTCTGATTTTATTTGATTCCGATTTTGATTCACAAGTTTGCGATTTGAGTCAATTCCGATTTTGATTCACGAGTTTGCGATTCGATTAACTTCCGATTTTGATTCAAAAGCTTGTGATTTGATTTGATTCCGATTTTGATTCACAAGTTTGCGATTCGATTCACTTCCGATTTTGATTCACAAGCTTGAGACTTGATTCACTTTCAAATTCGATTTACAAGCTTGTGATTTTGTTTTATTTGATTTGCAAGGTTGTGATTTTATTCGATTCGATTCACAAGCTTCTGATTTTATTTGATTCCGATTTTGATTCACAAGTTTGCGATTTGAGTCAATTCCGATTTTGATTCACGAGTTTGCGATTCGATTAACTTCCGATTTTGATTCAAAAGCTTGTGATTTGATTTGATTCCGATTTTGATTCACAAGTTTGCGATTCGATTCACTTCCGATTTTGATTCACAAGCTTGAGACTTGATTCACTTTCAAATTCGATTTACAAGCTTGTGATTTTGTTTTATTTGATTTGCAAGGTTGTGATTTTATTCGATTCGATTCACAAGCTTCTGATTTTATTTGATTCCGATTTTGATTCACAAGTTTGCGATTTGAGTCAATTCCGATTTTGATTCACGAGTTTGCGATTCGATTAACTTCCGATTTTGATTCACAAGCTTGTGATTTGATTCGATTCCGATTTTGATTCACAAGTTTGCGATTCGATTCACTTCCGATTTTGATTCACAAGCTTGAGACTTGATTCACTTTCAAATTCGATTCACAAGCTTGTGATTTTGTTTTATTTGATTTGCAAGGTTGTGATTTTATTCGATTCGATTCACAAGCTTCTGATTTTATTTGATTCCCATTTTGATTCACAAGTTTGCGATTTGAGTCAATTCCGATTTTGATTCACGAGTTTGCGATTCGATTAACTTCCGATTTTGATTCACAAGCTTGTGATTTGATTCGATTCCGATTTTGATTCACAAGTTTGCGATTCGATTCACTTCCGATTTTGATTCACAAGCTTGAGACTTGATTCACTTTCAAATTCGATTTACAAGCTTGTGATTTTGTTTTATTTGATTTGCAAGGTTGTGATTTTATTCGATTCGATTCACAAGCTTCTGATTTTATTTGATTCCAATTTTGATTCACAAGTTTGAGATTCGATTCACTTCCGATTTTGATTCACAAGCTTGTGGTTTCATTTGATTCGATTCACAAGCTTGTGATTTGATTCGATTCCGATTTTGATTCACACGTTTGCGATTCAATTCACTTCCGATTTTGATTCACAAGCTTGTGGTTTCATTTGATTCGATTCACAAGCTTGTGATTTGATTTGATTCCGATTTTGATTCACAAGTTTGTGATTTCACTTGATTCGATTCACAAACTTGTAATTTTATTCGATTCCGATTTTGATTCACAAGTTTGCGAGTCGATTCACTTCCGATTTTGATTCACAAGCTTGTGATTTGATTCGATTCACAAGCTTGTGATTTGATTCGATTCCGATTTTGATTCGTACGTTTGCGATTCGATTCACTTCCGATTTTGATTCACAAGCTTGTGGTTTCATTTGATTCGATTCACAAGCTTGTGATTTGATTTGATTCCGATTTTGATTTACACGTTTGCGATTCGATTCACTTCCGATTTTGATTCACAAGCTTGTGGTTTCATTTGATTCGATTCACATGCTTGTACTTTTATTCGATTCCGATTTTGATTCACAAGTTTGAGACTTGATTCACTTTCAAATTCGATTCACAAGCTTGTGATTTTGTTTTATTTGATTTGCAAGGTTGTGATTTTATTCGATTCGATTCACAAGCTTCTGATTTTATTTGATTCCGATTTTGATTCACAAGTTTGCGATTTGAAACAATTCCGATTTTGATTCACGAGTTTGCGATTCGATTCACTTCCGATTTTGATTCACAAGCTTGTGATTTCATTTGATTCGATTCACAAGCTTGTAATTTTATTCAATTCCGATTTTGATTCACAAGTTTGCGATTTGATTCAATTCCGATTTTGATTCACAGGTTTGAGACTTGATTCACTTTCAAATTCGATTCACAAGCTTCTGATTTAGTTTTATTTGATTTGCAAGGTTTTCGATTCGATTCACAAGCTTCTGATTTTATTTGATTCCGATTTTGATTCACAAGTTTGCGATTTGAATCAATTCCGATTTTGATTCACAAGTTTGAGATTCGATTCACTTCCGATTTTGATTCACAAGCTTGTGATTTCATCCAATTCTATTCACAAGCTTGTAATTTTATTCGATTCCGATTTTGATTCACAAGTTTGCAATTTGATTCAATTCCGATTTTGATTCACAGCTTTGAGACTTGATTCACTTTAAAATTCGATTCACAAGCTTGTGATTTTGTTTTATTTGATTTGCAAGGTTGTGATTTTATTCCATTCAATTCACAAGCTTGTGATTTTATTTGATTCAGATTTTGATTCACAAGTTTGCGATTTGATTCAATTCCGATTTTGATTAACGAGTTTGAGATTCAATTCACTTCTGATTTTGATTCACAAGCCTGTGATTTGATTCAATTCCGAATTTGATTCACAAGTTTGCGATTTGACTCAATTCCAATTTTGATTCACTTTCGAATTCGATTCACAAGCTTGTAATTTTATTCAATTCCGATTTTGATTCACAAGTTTGAGATTCGATTCACTTTCGATTTCGATCATGTGATTCGATTCCATTTCGTTTTTAATTTTCTGATTCACTTTTGATTTCGATTCATGAACATGTACTTCGATTCAATTCACTCATTGATTTCGATTCACTTCCGATTCATTTGGATATATTTATCAGGTACAGTACGTCGATTTTTTCTCAAGTAAAAAAACAAATCTCTCCTGTCTACAGTTATTTCTGTATCGCGTTTATGGTCATCGAATGGCTTGTTTTGACATTATTGTCACTGATCGATGGATCACGAGGGAAAGTTGTTCTGTATCTTCATCATTCCTTCTGATGTTCACTGTGTTTATTTGCTGCTGTAACTAGTAGTGAAGAGATGATCGGTTCATCTGTCACACACATTAAAGACCCACAAACACACTTTTATCGCTCGAACTTTGCTATGAAACTGACAGACTTTGAAAGCGGAGACTGTTCACACAAAGACCAATCTAAGAATCAACATTGGTTCATCAAAATGAGAATCGATAACAAGTGAGAACTGAATACTGTAAGCCAGCTCTGTGTGACGCCACTACTGGAGCTGAACGACACACACACACATCTGGGAGAGAAACACACTCAAATGCAGGAACTGATAACACTTAAACCTAGAATGCAATATACGCATCTGCCGAATGCATAAATGTGAAAGACAGAACACTGATTTATGTTTGACTCTCACAAAAACACAATTATTACGAACTTCTGACCGGTTGTGCAATTTCATCTTGAGAAATGTTTGAGTTTATGGAAATCTCCGTCTCTCAGACATTATTGAGATCTGATCTGAAATATGAGATTATACTGGGATATCAAGATAAACATCTGTTTCAGAGCAACGAAAAATCTCATTTGAGAACTATAGATAATAACTGGTCAATAACTCGACTAAAGCACAGATGCACCATTTAATAACTCAATAATCACCATCATCATCAGCGCTAAAAGAAAAGCAGGATTTACACACAAACCACGACAGTCCCTGTGTGTGTGTGTGCGTGATGGTTTGTGCTTGTGAATGAGTGTTAGAGAGAAACAGGAAGTGAGCAGGAGAAACAGGAAGTGAGCAGTCGCACAAGACAAGGCTTCGCTCACACCGCGAGAAAATCTGATGTTCAGGAGCGAGTGTTTGACTCACACACACAATATTTAATGCATACACTGCAAAACATGTGCTGTCTTGTCCTCCAGGACAAATATCCAAACATTCTTCAATCAAGCTAAAATGACTGAAGATATCGAGTCTTGCTTTACTAAATGCACATTGAAAAAAAGTCTGATTTTGCGGGCGGTTTGAACGAAGCCATGTAGGCTCATGCAAAACAGGAGAGAAATAAATGAGATGAGGTCCAGACGTCTTTGCACATGCTCAGGAGAAGTGAAATGTTAAGGACCGCCCGGACTCGTCCAGAATCTGCAATAAATGGGAGAAAATACCTGAACAAAGAAGTAAATCAAGGCCAGAGGGCCAATGACCAGAGCGAATATGGGGGTGCTGCAAATGATAACAATCATGGTGGACACGGAGGCAAAGAAGGTGCCCAGGAACATGAGCACTGTGGAGGGGAGGACCTCGTCGATCACGTAAATGTCCTTGGAGAAGCGGTTGATGATCCGGCCTATGGGAGTGGTGTCAAAGAAAGACTGTGGCGTGTGAAACTTGTTGTCCAGCAGGGCCTGGTGAAGCTTGCGGGAGCCCTGGATTTTCCCCAGAGCCAGAGTAAAGGAGGAAAACATGACCAGCACGCCTGTGTTAGAGAGACCAGAGGAGGGGGACAGCGTCACTACACACACACACACACACCTACAGGGGGCGCCAGAGGAGGGGGAGAGCGTCACTACACACACACACCTACAGGGGGCGCCAGAGGAGTGGAGAGCGTCACTACACACACACACTAGAGCCAGACCGATATATCGGCCGATATTAGGCATTTTCCATAATATCGGTATCGGCAGTTATAATGGCCGATAAATTAATATTTAAAAAATAAAATAAAAACGGACGAAACACGCTTCAATCATCTCTCCTTGGCCTGTTATATTGAAAATGTATGTTTTACAATTTGCAGTATGATGTTATCTATTGCTAAATTATGGCTAATCATAGACTAGCTAACCACAAAGCTAGCTAATGCCACTATCATCAGTGGAAGACCGCTAACGTTAACATTAATGAGCTTCGAAACAACAATGAACTTTTTCTGCCTAAATAAAGTAATGATTACTGTATTTATAACTCGCATATCTCTAGTTACAGTCCCTGCATTGTAAAATGTTATACTTGCGAGGAGTGAACATTTAGACATAGAGAAAAAGTATCAAACGTATCTTGTGTACACGTTTACACGTGTGTGAAATCCAACAATATTTAATAAAAAAAATATCGGCCGATATATCGGAATATCGGATTTTAAAACCCCAAAATATTTGTATCGTTATCGGCCTTCAAAATCCTTTATCGGTCGGGCTCTAACACACACACCTACAGGGGGCGCCAGAGGAGGGGGAGAGCGGCACTACACACACACACCTACAGGGGGAACCAGAGGAGCAGGAGAACACACACACTCACACACACTCGCTCGTTTCTCAAGGAAAAGGAGAGATTTTGAGGAGTGTTAATGCTGCTCTTCTCCATATAATGAGATCTTACGGGATCAGTCAACGAAGACTCATGAGTGTGTCAGTGTTCTGTGAACCCATGCACCGCTGTGAGTTACACATCTGAGGACATTTAACGACACACTCCTATAATAACGAGATGTGGTTATTGGTCAATATTCTCAAAGAAAAGAAGAGATTTAGAGAAATGTTAAAGCTGATCTTCTCCATATAATGACAGACTGTAGAAGTGATGGAACATGCGATTTTAGTAAACGAGGCTCACACACATCTCGGATCAGCTTTATACATCTGTAGACATTTAATGACTCATCTGATTAACCCAGCTCTCCATAAAACAATGATTTCATAAAACACTTTATGCTATTAGATGATTGTTAATTGCATTTAATAGATTACATATTGGTTTGTTTTTATTTTGCTGTAATAGCGATTCGACACTGAATCATTTTGCGAAGCAATTGATTCAATTGAATCAATGTTTTAAAAAGCTTCGTTTCTCACATAAACGAGTGCAGTTGAAATAAATCTAACACAAATTAAGCACCATAAAAGCACTCAATTATTGGGCCAATGACAAATATAGGTGTAAATATTTAAAATTAATTTGCAAAGAATTATATATATATATGTATAAATCAATTCAATAAAAAGTCACAGCCAATCAGACGAGAGTGTGGGCGGAGTCTCTCTACTGTCTCGCACGCACAACAACAATGTGGTTGCACCACATGACTTTTTAAAACCTGAACTTGGTAAAGTGAAATTAACAATTAATTTTAGTATTTAATACATCTAATTATAAATGTATATACTATAATGTAATGTAATATAATATCTAATAATATCTATAATGTAATATATTAGTGCTGGGCAAAGATTAATCGCATCCAAAATAAAAGTTTGTGTTTACATAATATCGGTGTGTGTACTGTGTATAATTATTTTGTATATATAAATACACACACATACATATATATATACACATAAAATATTTATATATAGGATTATAAATATATATACAGTGTATACATGCAAAAATACATACACATGCATATGTGTGTATTTATTTATACAAAATTATACAAACTTTTATTTTGGATGCGATTGATCACGATTATAAATATATATATATAATTTTATATTTATAATTAAAAAAAATAATATTTTTTTTTTATCTTGATACAGTACTGAGAGCCAATGACATCATTTCCTGTAAATATACTGCATTTCCTAATTCTTTTTCTTTTGTTTTTGAAGCTTGGCAGTCTCGTTGACTGCAGCCTGTCATTAAACAGAAAAGAGTCGTTCTTTATAATCTATCGTGTGTGTTTGGGAGGATGTGAATGCAGAGATGTGAGCAGGGTTGTGTCAGTCGTGTGTGTTTGATCACATGACGTACCTTGAGAAAGACCCAGCGCTGCGTACACGCCGACCCTCATCTCCACGCGCGCCTGCGTCCGGTTGAGCTGCGCGTCGTTGGTCCACTCGCTGAGCCAGAAGTTGGCCCCGATCGCAGCGGCGCTCTGACAGCCGTACAGGAAGCAGATGAAGAGCGAGAGGAGAGGGCCCACAGCCTTCATGTACTCCCAGTACACCTTCAGCTTTACCTACACACACACACACACACACACACACACACTATATATATATAACGTACATACAGTATATCAGAGGACTGGAAACTGAAAGTCAGTCAGTTATTTATTACCATTCAGAATAACTAAATAAATATGTTATATCGGGGCTTTGCTATTTTATTAGCAAAAAAGAGAAATTAATAAACACAAAATTCACTAAATAAAAAAATGATATTATAATTTATTTTAATGTTTAATATTTTTAATCACAATAAAAAAATTCAACATAGGGTTTTGGTTATTTATATGATTTTTAAAAAAAATTAAATTAATAAAGTTGGGGGGAAAATCTGTCAAAATCTGTAAAAAATATATATTTTTTATTATATGGACGAGTGCAGCTGAAATAA